GAGACCAGTGGTAGCAGCATCAAGGTCCTTGAGGACAACCAGGGGGCCATAGCGTTGGTGCAGAACCCCCTCAGCTCAGGTCGCACGAAACACATCGACGTGAGGTATCATTTCATCCGAGGATTGTTTAGGTCGGGGGATATTTCGGTCAAGTTTGTTCCGACAACGGAGCAACACGCGGACCTCCTTACCAAGGCCCTTAGGAGGGTCAGGCTGCAGCNCAATTGATGGTTAGTCACTTGCTGCGTGAAGAACCAGGGAGGGTGTTCGTGAGTCTGCGAACATTGCTGTTGGATACATGTGCTGGATGATTTTGTGTCACGCAGACTGGTAAGATAACCGTTTGATAGGGGGCACCGCGATGATTCACGGGGGCCCTCCTTGCTGTGGGAGCCGCTCTTTGAGCACTCCCTCTTTCGTCCATGTGAAGGACGGTCGTCTACCTCCCGTGAAGTTAATACATCACCAAAACAGTCTCACCCGATAAATATGTGGCGTAGGCCGCAAACATAACCCTCCTTAAAAATATCCCTTATCCATGTTTGCCGACTTGCGGCACGCCAGCTTAGGAAGCAGCTGGACCCCAATGATGTGGATCGCTGCCATTAGATTCGGCCATCACACTAACAGGGGGGAAAAGGAAGCGCTTGGCGTGGGGTCTTCGCACACCGAACACAAAAAAGCAACACGAACAAAACATGGACAATGTACTTCAACGACGATTAACCATGAGAGGCAGGGAAAGGGCTGAAAAATACGTTGAGAGGGTTATGGTAGTGTACAACAAACCGTGGGCAGCCCGCGTTGAATCAAAGGATGCTAACTTAGCTTGACAGCCGGTTGGCCGTGGATAGAAAACAATGTCCAATGATCGCGGGATCCCAAGAAACGAAGCACCGGTAGTTATACCAAAAGAGAAAGAACTACAGTGCACCTCAGCAGAGATGCGGAGGAGCTCGTGGGAAACTTCTATTCTGCTTGGGGGAGTGCCACACTCGTTTGCTGAATCACACAGCATCAGCCCGTTGGTCGTGGGAGACTTGAGAGGCCCCATCTACAAATCGCTCAAATCAAATCCCATTCTTTCATTTGCGTTTTTGCTCTCTTTGTTAATTTATGATTTTCGCGGAAATCACGCGAGTCTGAAGTACACTCAATGCAACGGGTGCGAGTTACAGCAGCCACAGCTTGGAGACCTTAGGGCCGTTTTAAACGGACCGACTGTTTGTCAAAAAATTTGGAAGTGTCGGNCAAATCGCTCAAATCAAATCCCATTCTTTCATTTGCGTTTTTGCTCTCTTTGTTAATTTATGATTTTCGCGGAAATCACGCGAGTCTGAAGTACACTCAATGCAACGGGTGCGAGTTACAGCAGCCACAGCTTGGAGACCTTAGGGCCGTTTTAAACGGACCGACTGTTTGTCAAAAAATTTGGAAGTGTCGGAATGGAACCTGTATGTAGGCGTTTGTCCATTTTTTCAAAAATATTTGGAACGAAGTTGGGCGCGAAAACTTTGCTCCACTTCGTTCCAAGTTTTTGAGAACCCTCTCAAAGTATTTGGAGCACTTTCCAAAGTACCCTTGCAGAGGCACGCGAGGGCTGCTGCGTCTGCACCACGAGTGCCCCTCACCGTAGAAAGTCAGCTAGGGTTGTGTGTGAGTCATCTGTCGCTGTCGCTATTGCTATCGTCGCTGTTGCCAACGTTGACGATGCTGTCTGCTGTTGCTGTGTCGTCCGAAAAACGGCGGTCCGCCATGATGGCTTGCAGTTGTTGCTTCGCGTCCGCCGCTTTGTTTTTTCCTTTTCCCGGGGGGGTAGGAGCAGTGGTTGCCACCCCTCGCCGGCGGAGTGTTGGTGGCGGCAGCGCCTCCCGTGGTAACATGAGTGTTCCCCGAGATGCCAGGCAGCAGCACTATTTGCTGGAGAGCAAGCCTCCACCGCCTTACGGCGGCACCGAGAGAGCCCGTCTGCTGGAATTT